CCCCCCCGAGAGATACAAGGAGACAGAGGAACAAGGAAGCCTAGCCCCGCCCATGGCCCTCCAGCCTCCCTCCCACGTCGCGCCGCGCTCTGACGACAGACTCGTGCGCAGCGCGGCGTCCAGGAGCCACGTTGACAACCGGAGGGGGGGACGCGGGGGGCGTGGCTTGTGTTTGAAAGGGGTCGGTTGGGACCTTTTTGGTGCTCAGTTCCCAGTGGCGCAAGTTTGCGGGCGCTTCAGAGCGAGCCATGTCGTCGCCGCCTAAGGTTAAAGCCGAGACCCGGGCTGGACACCCTCCTGCTGGTATTGCTGGCCTCTCTCTCTTTCTCTCTCGGGGGTTTCCGGATGTTTTTTTTGTTTCTTTCGAGGGAGTTTACTCTCTCTCTCTCTCTCTCTCTCTCGGGGGGTTTCCGGATGTTTTTTTTTGTTTCTTTCGAGGGAGTTTATGGTGGGGCTTGGTAACCCTTTTCAGACCTCTCTGCACGCGTCTTAGGCTGACGAGTAGAGAGAAGTCGCTTCAGAAATCAAAGTCTTCTCTCGGGTGTGTGTGTGTGTGTGTACGTTGTTTTGCACACCAGACTTTTTAAAAGGGGCGGGTGACGATTTCTTGAAGGCTGCAGCCCGGTTTACGCTTTACTCGGGAGCAAAACCCACCCCTTTGAACAGAGAGGGAAATTCTTGTTGGAGCAGACACACCTAGGGGTAAACATACCTAGGGTGCTGGCGTATGATTGCAGTCCCACGCACACTTACTTAGGAGTAAGTCAAATTGGGCTTGTAGTGGTTTAGCTCTATATATATGCCCATGATCGGGTTCCACAGGTGACTTACGGCACTTTTGGCGTATGTGCTGCAAAAAAACAACACATCTTCCACCTCCTTTTAAAATAATAGAAGTTTCCTTTTAGGGGAATTTGGGGGAAGGGAAGCTTTTAAATGGAAGTATAGAGAATTCAAACTTTCCTTGTAGGTCCGGGCAGCTTATTCCCCCTTCTCCCCTTTTTTTCTGTTTGTTGTTTAACTTGGACACGTGTTGCCAGCGTGTACAAGGCGGGGGATGTCTCGAGTGTCTACTCAAGAGACACGATGAAGGGCACAAGAGGAATCCTGGGGTTAGGTTTGTATCTGAAGGGTCTATAGTGCAACCGATTTTACAGCTTGATCCTCTTTAATGGTGAATTAATCTCATTGTCACTGTGTGATCTAATGTCCATTTAACATGTATAGAATTGCAGCCCTTTTACAATATGCTGTACAGTTTTATTCAGAAATTAGTCGCCCTGAGTTCAGTGGAGTTTTTCCCAAATACAAATACTGTAGAGGAACAAGTGATACCTTTAAATCAACCATTAAGAATATGAAACAAAAAACAAGCAGCGAGTTTTTGAAAATAAATCACCATCCTCAAGGCTGTGTATCAGGTTCTTGCGGGTTGTTCCAATTTATACGTTATTATTAATGTCCCAAATTCACCAGGCTGATGATATTGAAGCCTAATACAATGCCTCTTTTCACTTAGTTTTCTGCAGTATCACTATCAGAAGCAAAAGTATTAATGAACAATAAAATAATAAAACAAATAATAAAACATAACTAATTGCCTCCTCAGAAGATAGCAAATTCATTGTCTTAATTGATTGTTGCTCTAGGGTTTTTAAAAAAGATTCTATAATATTCAGCAATAATAATAAAAAAGCAAGGTGTTCAGTAGTAAAAATGTAAAAACTACCAGCATCTTTACCAACAGGAAATTATTATCATTCGCACATTGACCAAACTTTGTCATACTAGAAGTATTCTGTTTAAAAGTCTAAACAATTTCTGAATATTGTAGTGCTCTTGGTATATATGAGGCATTTTACAAGCTGTCACATCTATTAATTCCTTTTGGTTTAATTGTTTATAACCATCCCCCCAAAAAATCTATTAATTCCTTTTGGTTTAATTGTTTACAACCACCACCACCCCAAAAAACCCCTGTATATTGCTGTATTTGACTTTCCTTCCTCTTTATATATTGATAATTTTCAGTAAGAGGTTAGAGTTGCACAGTAGCCATCTGCCAAGATGTTCCAGAGACTTGTATGGAGTCAGCTTTTCAAGCTCTGCCCCTTTTTCTTTCCTTCCATAAAATGAATTCTAGTTACTGGTGGAAGTTGGAGGCTTAACATGCAATCTAGTAGTGGGCCAGGCAGGACTGCACCTTGGCTTCTAAAACAGTCATTTTAATAGTCCCAAACTCTAATCCATTTTTCTCCATGTATCACAACAAGCTGTTTGTATTGTGTTTTTTTTCATCCCTCCTTATGGAATAGGTGATTGGCAGGAGAGGGGGCTGGGAGACCAAGTAATTTATAAGAAGGGCAAATTCAAGTACTGTACTCTTGAGAAACACTTGCCTACAGTTCCTTAAGTGTGGTGCCCAGCCATTACAAGAATCAAAGGACTTCCTTGGAACCAAAGGATCCACGCTGTGATTTTGAAGGAGTTGCCAGCATGTCTGGTTCTTACATACTGGCAGATATGAATAGGTTGCTTAGGTAAGATATAATATACTGGTGCCTCCTGTGATAATTTTAGGCTTTCAGTGAAATCAGATACTTACCCTCATCCCATCATATAGAAAGTTAACACCACTACTTCCACTATATAGAAATACTTCATTTAATTATGTACTCTCTCCAAAAGCACATCGTACCTTTCTAATATAGAAATACTTCATTTAATTATGTACTTTCTCTCTCTCCAAAAGCACATTGTACCTTTCTCTAATCTTAGTACAGTGGTGCCTCACTTAACAATGATAATTGGTTCCCAAAAAATCACCGTTAAGCGATTTCATCGCTAAGCGAAACACGGTTTCCCATAGAAATGCATTGAAAACCAGATAATCCGTTCCAGTGGGAACGGATTGCCGTCCTTAAGCGAAAATCGGCATAGGAAACATCGCTAAGCGAAACAGTTCCCCAATTGAAATGCACTGAACAAAGTCAAATTAGTTTAACAAAGGGTTTATTAAGTGCACTTATGATTTCAAGCATTCTAAACATTTTTAAACATTTAAAAAACAGCCAACATGAGGCTGTCAGAACCATTGTTAAGCGAAACAGGGGGACCCAAACTGTCATCGCTATGCAAAGCATGGTCCCAAACATCGCTATGCGAAAATCGCCCATAGGAACCATCGTTAAACAAAGCGCAAGATCGCTCCAAAAAAGTCATTGCTACGCGATTTCATCGTTAAACGAAGCAATCGCTAAGCGAGGCACCACTGTATGTATTTTTTTCATTTATTACCATTTAAAATATACCCTGCCTTTAAAAATGTGCATCAATTGTTTTGTAATGTAGAATTAGAATTTATAATCTCTTCCATTATGAAAGCTGGCTGGATAGCTCACTGGTTTAAGTATTTGGCAGTGGAGCCAGAAGTTGGAAGTTCAGTTCTCCATTGTGCCTTCTACAAGTACAGCCAGCCTGTGTGACTCTGGGCAAGCTGCATAGTCCCAGGGTGCCCCCAGAAGAAGGGAATGGTTAACTACTACTGAGTATTCTCTACCTGGGAAACCCTGGAGAGGATCACCATAATTCAGAATTGACTTGATGGCACATGATTATTACTTTTATTATTTGATTATGAAATATTTGGGCTATAACACACTTTAAAACAAGGCTATAATAACATATTTTTTTCTTAAAAATCAAACATGAGAATACTCCTTGGGCAGTGTTAGTCTAGAAATAGGTTTACTGTACAGTGTGAGTCAGTGATGGAATAGGCTGTGATGTTTGCATTTGTATACATTCAGGAGCCATGTTTCTATGATCTCTTTGTGCTCTGTGTCTGTTGTTCCCGTAGGGAACTGATTTTTTTTACATTCAGGAGCCATGTTTCTATGATCTCATTGTGCTCTGTGCCTGTTCCCGTAGGGAACTGATTTTTCCCCCCATTTGCACTTGATAAGAAGTGTTCTAGTTGTACCGCTCACCCAGCTGTTAACAGAGCTTGTTCATATTTTGATTTGTAAATGCAAACCTGAACTGAAATAATTCCCCAGTGGTTATTTTACAAAAAACTTTATCTAAAATTAGTTTATAGCTCACATTGTATTGGCTGGCTGTGAGTAGCTTGCTCTCTTGTGTGCCATTATTCATTCTCCTGGACCCAGGGTGTGTCTTCCCAACAATCATGCAACAATTTTTGGCTCAGTCTAGCACAACATTGGGAAGGCTTAAGCTCCATTGATTTCAGTGAGATTTAAATGCTCCTAATTGAGTACTGAATTTATATCAGTGCAAAGAGAAAAAATAAGGAAATTAGCCTGAAGAGAATTTCCAATTGGCCGGAAGAGGAATGTGTGACTAAACATATTGTATTAATAGACATTCCTTACACTCACAAAGCTGTCTAGTGAAACCATCTCAAACGTGGGCTTTAGATAAACAGTTATAATAGTGAAAGGAGGATTTTCTTCTATTAAGGCAAATCCTGTACAAGATGACCTGGTGAATGTTCCCTAGGCACAGGGTTTGTCTTTTAGGTCTTATATGTCTTGAAGGAAGTCTTTGAATGGTTGTTGTGGGTTTTTTGGGTTCTTTGGCTGTGTTCTGAAGGTTTCGCCATACATCAAAGGGGTCACCGACCGCATGGGGAAACTTTTGAAAAAACACAATCTACAAACAGTATTCAAGCCCACCACAAAAATACAGCAAATGTTACGGTCAGCAAAGGATAGAAGGGACCCCACCACTGCAGGAGTATACCGGATACCTTGCAGTTGTGGCCAGGTGTATATTGGAACCACAAAATGAAGCATCCACACCAGAATCAAAGAACATGAGAGACACTGCAGACTAAAACAACCGGAAAAATTGGCAGTAGCTGAACATGCCCTAAAACAAGCTGGACATGAAATTCTATTTCAAAATACTGAAACACTAGACAACACCAGCAATCATTATGTTAGACTGCACAGGGGGGAGGAGAGTCCGAGCCATCTGCAGCGTGGAATCGGAGCTCCGGTATTTTCTTCTATTTTTGCCCTCCCAAGTTTGCTATCTTGTATTTCCCTCATTATGGAATTTCTTACTCTTGGCTGAGAGGCTATGGTGTTTATCGGAGTCCTGCTGCTGGCTTATCTCAGAAGTTAGGAGTGCTTTGTTTCTCCTCTCTGGCTGGCCTCCCCCGGTATACTCTGAAGACGCCATTGTTATCTCCACTAGCAAACGGCTTGTTTTTTTTTCTTCTTCCTCCCTCCTTAAGTTTATAATCTAAATGGGGAAATCCAAAAGAGCTCTCTCTCAAACCAGTCCCGATTTGGCACAGATTTTACCTTCATCCAAACAGCTGCGGTTGGACTCATATTTTTCACCCCATCCTTCAACACCGACTACAACACCGTCGTCACGAAGAGCTCCTTCTACCAACATGGCCCAGAAGAACCACATCCTTTCATCTACTCATCCTCCCGAACAATCCTGTACCAAGCAGCTGCCTAGTGAGAATTCTCTCCTGGGCTGTGATGTTATAGAACTTGTGAACCTGCAAAAGGTGAACGAACTCTACCCAGCTGCAAGGACTGGTGATCACTACACACAAAAGACCAGTTAACGAGACCCATCAGTCACAGTGACAGATAATCTCTCCTCCTTATCACAACAATACACCCACAACAAAAACACTGATCACCACAATCACCCATCTCCTGAAAAGGACAAAGCTGATCCAACAGCTATAAATACTCAACTCCCAAACAAACTGAATCAGAGCACAGAGTGCTACTCCTGTCCTCTGAACATGCCGGCCACAGAGACTGGCAAAACGTTAGGAAGAACAACCTTCATAAGACAGCCAAAGAGCCCGAAAAACCCACAACAACCATTAGATCCTGGCCGTGAAAGCCTTCGCGAATACATTGAAGTCTTTGAACTAGATCATTACTATTTTGTTTAACAAATGAGGAATCAAGGGTTGTGAGTGATTTGTCAAGTCTTTGTCGTATCTTGAACTACAGTATATTGGCTCTCTGCTGTTAATGGCAGTTTTAGTTCTTCTATACTTGAACTCATAGGCACTAAGACAAGATAAAAATGTCTTTGAATGACCTGCAAAACAACTCTTCACACCCACACTACTTTTTGGGAGATTTTGTGCAAGTTCAGAGTGGTGAATACATTATGCATGCATTGCCGATTGACGTCAGCTTCATTTCATATTATTGGATTATGTTCCTACTGTTTCTGGAAGGGTCTTTCATCTGAAATCCAAAATCTAGTCTGCATATTTGCTGAGAAAACTTTGTTTCCAACCTGGATTTTTAAATGTCTTAATTTGTTTCAGAAGGAAGAACTTTCCCTTTAAACAGCTTTCAGAATCACATTTAAATGATTCCCATTGTATATTTATGTTAAACTCATTGTAGCAATTTGACTCAGTGGAAGTGAAGCTGAATAGAGCAGGAACTCAGAAATATAGTATGGAAACTGCACATAAATGAACTAGGGCCCATTGGAAGGCCTATTCCATGGCAGTGGGAGCAGCAGAGAAGTCATTCCCCTCTGCCACTATTGCATCTCCATGGAATCACACAGTGGAGCTCTTTTGAATAGTGGTTTGCTATATGCTAACCCCCAGGTAGGTAATTCAGAACAAACTGTAGCTTGCTGTGAAAAATTTGCACACTTCGCAGGCAAAATTGCTCAGATCTGCTCTGATTTGGATTCTGTAGCTTTTCAGGTCCTGTGAATGATTTTGTAATCTGCTTCCACTGTGTTAATGGATGAGTTTAAGTTGCAGTCTGATGATGTGGTCAGGATCCTTGGGAAGGATCCTTGTGTCTGCTGGCTCCTTACCCTTCCTGGCTCATTAAAGCCATCAGAAAGGAACTGGTTTTTTATGTGAGGAGGGTGAACTCCTGCTTTCACCAGGGTAGGATCCCATCATGCTTAAGAGTAAGACCATTGTTAAGAAGTGCCCTCTTTGGATCCCAAAATACTAAATAATTACCGACCAGTATCTAATATCCCATTCTTAGGGAAGGTACTAGAAGGGGTTATTGCCTCTCAGCTCCAGAGGTTCCTGGGATGAGACTTGAGTATCTAGATCCATTTCAGTCTGGCTTCAGGCCCAGTTATGGGATAGAGGCTGCTTTGGTGACCTCAGTAGATGAGCTACGATGGGAATTGGATAGGGGATCTGTGTCCCTGTTGGTTTTACTGGACCTCGTATTGGCTTTCAATACTGTTGACCACAATATCCTCCAGACCCTTCTCTCTGGAATGGAACTTGGCACTGTTTTACAGTGGCTCTGGTCCTTCTGGAGGAGAGAACTCAGAAAGTGGTGCTGCCAGACTCCTATTCAGAACCCTAGCCGCTGACCTGTGGAGACCCTCAAGGTTCTATTTTATCTCCTATGTTTAACATCTACATGAAAGATGTTATAATCACTGAGAGAGATTATCCAGAGTTTTGGGGTTTGGTGTCACCAGTATGCAGATGACACCCAAATTTACCTCTCCTTGCCACCAAAATCTCAGGAAGCTACTTTGGCTCTAGATCAGTGTTTGGTATCAATAATGGACTGGATGAGAGTGGATAAATTGAAACTTGATCCAGATAAGACAGAGGCGCTTCTGGTCAGTCGAAAGGCAGATCAAGGAATAGGGATGCAGCGGGTACTGGATGGGATTACACTCCCATTGAAAAAACAGGTGTGCAGCTTGGAGGTGTTCCTGGATTCATCTCTGAACCTGGCTGCAGTGGCCAGTAGTGCATTTGCACAACTGAAACTAGTGCACCAGCTACATCCTTTTCTTGAGTGATCTGATCCAGCCACTGTGATACACACCCTAGTTACTTTGTGAGCCACTGTGATACACACCCTAGTTACTTCGTGACTGGATGACTGTAATGCACTCTACGTGGGACTGCCAGTGGAAAGTGTCAGGAAACTTCAACGGGTCCAAAATGCAGCAGCCAGATTGCTGACTGGGGATCATTTAACCACCCTGTTATAGTACATCCACTGGCTGCTGATCAGCTAATAGGCGCAATTTAAAGTGCTGGTTTTAATCTCTAAATCTCTAAATGGCTGTAAGATAATCAGGAGAGGCCTTTCTGTCTCGCCACCTTCACAGGCGTGTCTGATGGAGATACAGGCGAGAGCCTTTTCTGTTGCTTCTCCCAGCCTTTGGAACTCTCTCCGACAGGACGCCAGACTTTGCTATCATTCTACAACCAGGCAAAGACCTTTCTCTTCAGGAAAGACTTCCCTCAGTAAACCAGCTACTTGTGTGATTTTTAGATAGATTGTTCTGCATTACTGCTTTGACTGGATTTTTAGTACTACTTGTGTTTTCCATTTCTGAAAGAGACATTTAAATTTTTTTGTATACTTACTGATCTTTGCCTTAATATTGCCTGTTAATGTTGTAAGTTGCTTCCTTATTCACTGTTTACAGTTTTAAATATCATCGTTTATTGATGCTAACCACCATTGTATACTCATTGTTTTCAACTTTAAATATTATTTTTCATTGTTGTAAGCCACATTGGGTCTTTTTCAAGGTGAAAGACAGGGAAATAAATAAACAGTAAAGTGAGATAATAGCAAGGTTTAAAAGGGTTTCCTTGAGTTGTGCTTCTCTTAATCACAAGCATGGTATTGGTCTCAACAGTGAAGTGGAAATTTTTGGGCATGTGTAGTTATCCAGAGGAAGGAGATAACTTGATGCTTCTGTTGGTAGGGAAGTGAAAGTAAACATTGGTTGCTTTCATTTTAGATTCCTCCCAGTGAGCACAATGGAAGTAAAATTAGTGTCATTTATGTCTATTGTTCTTACACTCAGAAACAATGAAAAAACATATAAGTGGTTTCATTGCAATTTCTGGTACATTTGAATAATCATAAAATCTGCACCCCAGCTGCAGTATCTGTACTACTTTTGGCCTTTTTGGGCTCACTTATCAGATGACATGGTAGTCATTTCTCAGTTTTATTCTGCTTTCTGGCCATAATATTTTTATCTGCCATCCTATAGCATATCTGACAAAACACCTGCCTTTTTATTTTCATTACAGTCAAGGCTGGTGGGATGAGAATTGTGCAGAAGCATCCACATGCTGCAGATGCCAAAGAAGAGAAAGATAAGGATGAACAGGACTGGGAAAGTGGTACCAGGTGAAGACATACCCATAATGTCTTATTAATGAGAGATAATCCTTTCTCTGTTCTATCTGAGTGCTCTTCTGTCAACATAGGCATTTTTGTGATTAAATTTAAAGGTATTTGTGATTATGAAGTGCTTCTGAAAGGCCACATGCACTTTGCTTCATTATGATTTATTTTTTGTGTATTTTTCACATTCCTAACGATAATAGGGAGCTGAATTAGCATACAGTGTTGAGGATTCGGCAAAAGCTGAAATGGAAGAGGCAAAATGTTAGGATTCCTAGGAACTACTTTGATGCAGTGGTCATGTTTCTACCATCTGCTTTATATTGGTGACCTGTTATTCTTGTCTATTGGGTGATAGAAAGGACAACTGCAAATGAAAGGATGAGGTGGGTACAAAACATGAAACTGTTAGGAAAGGCTCTTGATTGGAGAGCTGGATGTCTGTTTATTAAGGAAACTGATAATGGGTCTTTGGAAAGGCCAGTGTCCTATCACCCACAAAAAAAAGCATAGACATGTCTTGTAAGGTGTCTGGGTAGTTCATTTATGAGCACAGACCTGTGACGGCCTTCCTCACTACCCACAAAGGGAGGTCGCCACGTCACTTTAAAACTCTATGCTCTTCTTTACTGCCACCAACCATTCCTTACTGAATAAATCAAAGATTTGTTGATTACCAATGAACATTTACTGAAAGTTACAGTACTGTATTTGCCTTCCACATGACTAAGACATAACTGAACAGCAGGATTTTGTCCATTATCTTTTAAATTTAAGTAAACCTTCAGTTCTAACAAATAAAATTCCAGATCATAAAGCAAGCAATTTTTGCACTTTATGTGAATAGTCTCTTTTTGTGTCTCTTTTTTAAAACTCTTATTACCTTGTATCAGTGGCTATAACCTCATTAGTATGGTTCTAGTATAAAGCCAGCAAGCACACAAATAAACTATTTATTGAGCTCTAACATTACATGGGGCCTGTGCACGTAGATCTGTACCTTTCTCTGTTTATATTGACTAGTATGGTTCTCATGGATTGAGAACCTTTTTATACAGGTGTAGATGTTTGTATTTTTAGTGGGGGACTTCTAGTGGGTGGGGAGTGTTTGGGGAATGTTATGTGTGTGCATGTGTCTGGTCTCTGGGTGTCTGTGAATTTCGTTGTATGGGTATACTGTGTATCTACTTACAATGACAATAAATTTTATTATTATTATTATTATTATTATTATTATTATTATTATTATTATTATTATTATTATTATTATAAAGACCTAAAGGCCTTCCCTCAGCTCTGACATGCTAATTATTTATGTGTAGAGGCCTTTTTTATATGATGGAATTACATGAGCCTCCAAATTAAGAACATAAGATGAGATGTACTGGATCAGATCAGAGGCTTACCTAGTCTTCCATATTGTGTATACAGTGGCCAGCCACGTGTCTAGGTGAAGCCAGCAAGCACACGTTCCTGTTTGTGTTACACCATTACAACTTGTTCTCTTAATGTTAAAAAACAGCAACTTTGTTAACTTCATTATCATAAATGTAACATTACCTTTATGTTGTTCTGTTACTTTTAAAAAGTAACAGTAATGCTGTTATCTAAAATATATTGCATTACAGGTGATATTCTGTCCAATCACTGCAAAATAGTCTCAGGAAAATGTCAGTCCTTCACTGCCATATGTTTACTCTGCAGTTATTTCCTATGTATTGCAGAAAAGTTAAAACAGTTATATTGATTTTTAAAAATGGTGAATTAATACATGCAGTGAGTGGGATTTGAAAAGTCTTAATAGGATTTCACTTGAATTACTTTATTACCTGGAAACTTTAACTTAGATATGCTCGTTATTTTTAACAGTCTTTAAATCCTGAGTTATAGGCTTTCCATCTTTTTGTTTCTAATAAAAATGCTAACAATCATTATCTTTTTGAGCTGCTTGTGTAATTATCTAGCTTCGAGCCTAGTTCTTCATTTCATAAATGCCTCACCATGGTTTTGAGTGGCAGTCATACATACAGTGCTATTGCTTGGCCATGTCATATCTATTAAGACGAAGAACTTTAATTAAAATGTTAGATTAGGAATTCCTGAGAGGACAATATATCATTTTGCAAGATCATTTGTTGTCAGAAAATATGACATGAGGGTAGAATATTCTGAGCTCCTTAACGTAAAATGATCGTAATGGTTAAATTGGGTCTCCAGAGTTGTATGCATGAATGAAGCAGAGGGTTTTGTGCTGACGTGTCAGTCAACATCTAGAATGTCAACACAGTAGATACACTTGAAGGACACATAGGCAGCAATTCAGTTTAATTATTAAATGTTTCATTAGCATCTGCTTCAGTACCCGCAGAAATATGGGGAAAAGGTAATTTAGTAAAGTAATATGGATAACTTCACAGGTGATTTCATTCTTCAACAAACAAAACTTGTGGCTGTAATTATTTAAGAATTGTTTGCTTTTCTTTGATTCATTCTGAGGTAGAATGGAAACTTCCTTAGTCGTGACATTGCCAGACCAGTGCATGGTACATATTTATGCATCTATTGTTGCTGCTGTAGTTGAATGTTATATTTGTACATTCACTTTCCAAGTCAAGACTGTTGTGATATAATAGGTTAAGGATGAATCCAAAAGTTCTAAAACAATTGAGGTAAAAAATTAAAGCACAGAAGCAGTAAGGGTTTCAGTTTTCAAAAATGAAAGGATGATCTTGCTGAAAGACTGTTGGGAAAACCAACAATCCTGACTTGAATACTGTGGTTGAAATTTCAGAGGTTCATGGCTGTGTGATCTGCTTCAGTTGATTTCAGATGACTCCTTCCTAGTCTTTAAGAGTAGTTGAAATTACAGTAAATCATGATTTAGCACAGGGCTTGGCATCTTCTATTACTAGGTCAAGGACGATTTTTCATGTGGAGCAACTGACCAGGGCTAATTGTTGGAAGGGGTTGTAGCCATATATCAAAGAGATGGTGCTTAATTCAAGCAAATGTGAGTAAATAAAAATACATTTATGATTTTTCTCAGGCCCCTTTTATTTATTGCTAATAGAGACACTGTCAATGTGTACCTGATAATGAACAGAGAAATAAATGAGCAGAGAAGGTCATTCCTCAGTTTTTATACTCTGAATTTCAGTTGGGAGAGGAGGTAACAAAGAAGTGGAAAGGAACCAGGGAAAGTGAGACAGAAACAAAGGGTGGTTGTTAGCAGTTGTTACTTATTATTTAGGATTTACTTCAACTGAGAATGGTCTTTCATATTAAGCCTCTCCCCCCTCCTTTTGGTAAATGTTGGGCTTTGAAGAGGGACTTGAATGAAAGTAGATTAGTAGATCCACTTAAGTGTTTTTCCGGGAATTCCAGACAAGGGTGCAAGCACAGATTTGATGGGAGCATTTCAAGTTCAATACATCTCATAAACATATAAAATCTTCTTCCGATATATTAACAGTACAGGTGAAGTTAAGAGTATCTATGGAATTTCGCATCCAGTGTCATGAGTTTTCTGCAGGCATTTGGATTACATAGAATGTTTTAAAAAATTAAGATTAAAATTTGCATATTGATCAGTTCTTTTGATCTGACAGAGTTATTATTATACATATTGCACTGTAGTCTTCACAAAGAACATTGTAACAAAATAGCTTTTAAACAGCAGCTGCTCATGCATTAAAAGCACCTAGTGCTGGCATTTTAGCTAAAATATCTGCAGAAAATGTTTGCTTAAACCACATTGTCATCTGTCAGATTATTATTTCAGTGTAGCTTTTATCTTTTGATTTTTTAAAAAAAATCTATGTGAAAGAGGGAGAAAGAGATCAGTTGAGAAAGGCAGGTACTATTTAAGAAGTAATTTGTATAGTCTATTTTCAAGAATCTGACTATTGAGGGATTGTGCTGTGAAATAGGTTGGAATTGTAAGGCATTATGCAAAACTAGTAGCTCTTCCATTTATAATGTTAGCTGTACTGCAGATGCAAACACTTATGTCTCCCTCTCCTCCACTCCACAGTTTATAAGAAATACAAATAGTCATGGTAAATTGAATACTCCCAGCAATTAAGGGTGATGGAGAACGGGCTGTTCCAAGACCTACACTGGCACTTATAGGAGACTATCTCTGTTTTATCTTTCTTTCCTCCCATTTGAACAGTGAACGCCAATGTATTCTGTGGTTATAACACAGGGCTGTGTTCATTATTGTACTGTTGTATGGATGTGAGAAAGCCATGTTTAGCCTCATATTGAAATTAGCAAGAATATTCCTTATATTTCTGTCACTTTGTAAAGGCTGTTTACTGCCCTGAACAAATAATAGCTTTTTGCTTCAACATTTGTATGTCTTTGCTTGATAGCTCACCAATAGGTTGTGTGGTCATTCTTTTTTAAAAAACCAGTCCTGATATTCTATCTTGTTGAAGCTTGACAATATGATATTTAGGCATGGGATTTTGTGTACTGTGAATGGAAGCTCCCAGGACCCTGTAGGAATTCTCCCATACAGGCTTCTGGGGGCTTTACCCCCCCCAAAAAAAAACAGTCCTTTCTGGTGTCTGTAATACTTTCAGTTGATAAATAATAGCCTCTCTTGGACATGATTATGCCCAAGGAGGTGGCTAGAGAGGGCTACGAATTCTAGGAACTCCAAGGCATTGTGACTCTTAATAGCTTCCTTCATGGACTATAAAAGGCAAAAAACTACCAGATCCATAATGTCATTCCCTCTGTCTTCATCATATTTGATCATCTAAGAGAAGCTATTGTTTCTCAGCTGAAAGTGGCAACAGACACCTGAAAAGACTGGTGTTTTTGTTGTTTTGCTAAAGCCCACAGGAGTCTGGCTGGGGGAATTCCCACAGACCTCTGGGGGCTGTAGTCGAGAAATATGAAAAATATCTTGTTTAATGATATGTAGATTGTGCTTTAGAATCCCAGTACAAAATCTTGTGTTCAATTATACATTCAAAAATGCGTCTTAAACC